AGAATCATTTTGCTTTCTTTCTGTTTGCTTACATTTAACATATGTGCACTAAACAAGCATCTGGTTGAGGTTCACCATGTTTTTCTCTTTTCGAATAGTCTTTCAGTATTAATATCTGCATGGTTGTATCATCAAACGGTAAATTGACTCTTATCTATCACTTTTTGAGTGAAAAAAGAAAGCTTGTAGTCTTCAGTACTCATTGCTGACTGAATCAAATGTACAAACCTGTCAACCGGGGACATAAATGTGTACATTGGGACTTCAAATAACTGAACTTACAGATTATTTAAGATTTGCCTTGATATATAGTTTGTAGTTCTGGGAAAGGATCCTAGTTATTATAACTGGTTTCTGTTATTGTTCTCGACAGCAATGTCCCATTGATGTGTTCTGTTTCTATTTCATCTGAATGTGGTTTAAAGATTTTGAAAAATTAGCAGTGAGATTTCCCCTCTGAAATGTTACTATTTTGGTAGTTTTGCAGTGTCTTAGGACAATCTAGAAGTGGTGTCAGGACACTGTACATTTGAGTGTTCCATCGAAAATAATGTATACTTGGTTTGCCCAAAATTGTCAAGTCTGAAAAAAAAAAGTTCAAATTTTGTACTATCATTTTCTCCCAGGAAGGCTGATGGATATTTTAGATCTTCAACTATCTTGATCAATGATTGTTGTCTCGTGTATGGTACTAGTTTTGAATGGGTCAGTATATATTGGACAGCATAGCATCCCACAGGTGTCATGCTGCCTGTGCATGCCTATCAAGTCGCCAAGGGTGTGTTAGCACCATACTGGTTGCCTATTTGGCGCCATGTACTAGTAGATTCACCTCGATATGGTTGGTCTAGCAATCCTTGATATCTCAGGCAGTTGGGCAACATTTCAGCTATCATGTTAAAAGTTGAGGATGAAAATAAAACTAGCGGGCTGATATCATGATGGGCCATGAGATGAAAACCTAATTTGTTCACCATGAGAAGGCTAAAAATGTCGTGTCTATGTTGATTGATTTCCTCTACTATTATAAACATGAAATCTTTGCCAAGATATTGTGTGCTTATATTTTGGATTATGCTGGAGTGTCAATGTTCCAATTGGAGGATGACTCGCTTACCAAATTACATGTCAAGGATATCAGCTTGTAACATGTTTTTGAACCTGTATAATCTGTTACTTGGTCAGCAGTGCTCAGAACTCGTCCAACCACTGGAGTACTAGGCCCCGCACAAGAACTACTATTGTTTCTTAATGGATACATTTCATGGGCCATGCACGTATTTTAGCACCTTGTATTCAATTCCTTTTATCACTTGTCTCATTTTGGCCATCATCTTTCTTTGAAGTTTCTGAAAAGATCTTTGACATCTGTTCAATGAGACTTTTATGATAGGGAGTGCTGGTGATGTTCTGGAAGATGACCCTGTTGGAAGGTTGAAGGTGTTTGTGTATGAGCTGCCTAGCAAATACAACAAAAAGATCCTCCAAAAGGATCCCAGATGCCTCAATCACATGTTTGCTGCAGAGATATACATGCATTGGTTCTTGCTCTCAAGTCCTGTTCGAACTTTTAATCCTGAAGAAGCTGATTGGTTCTATACACCTGTGTATACCACCTGTGACCTGACTCCCAGTGGGCTTCCCTTACCCTTCAAATCACCACGGATGATGAGAAGTGCAATAGAGTTGATATCCACTAATTGGCCCTATTGGAACAGAACCGAAGGAGCTGATCACTTCTTTGTTGTCCCACATGATTTTGGAGCATGCTTTCACTATCAGGTGAGCATTCGTTAATGGTCAAGCAATTTCTGCCTCCTTTTTGTGATGTATTTGTTTCTTCTGTTTTTACCTACTTTCTTTGTTTCCTCTTGTAATGACTATTTTATGATGCCATAGGAAGAAAAAGCAATTGAACGTGGAATCCTGCACATGCTTAAGCGTGCCACGCTGGTTCAAACCTTTGGGCAGAGAAATCATGTTTGCTTGAAGGACGGTTCCATCACCATTCCCCCATATGCACCCCCCCAGAAAATGCAGACTCATTTGATTCCTCCAGATACTCCTCGCTCTATTTTTGTTTATTTCCGTGGTTTATTTTATGATGTAGGGAACGATCCAGAGGGTGGATACTACGCAAGGTAAGATTCCATAATATCAGGAAGCTTAGATTTCTTGTACTCAGAAATCGCCAGTGCGATTGAATCTGAATGTTGACTGAACAAAATTTTCAGATGGCTGAAATTTAATGAGTCTTGATGATTTCTGATATGCAGAGGTGCAAGGGCATCGGTGTGGGAGAATTTTAAGAACAACCCTCTTTTTGACATCTCTACCGACCACCCTACTACTTATTATGAAGATATGCAGCGGGCAGTTTTCTGCCTGTGCCCCTTGGGTTGGGCTCCATGGAGTCCTAGATTGGTAGAAGCAGTGGTGTTTGGCTGCATCCCTGTTGTCATAGCAGATGATATAGTGCTTCCATTTGCAGATGCAATACCATGGGAGGAGATCGGTGTATTTGTGGCTGAGGAGGATGTGCCAAAGTTGGACACAATCCTCACATCAATACCGATAGAGGTAATCTTAAGAAAACAGAGATTACTCGCAAACCCTTCAATGAAGCAGGCGATGCTGTTCCCTCAACCGGCCCAGCCTGGCGATGCTTTCCATCAGATATTGAATGGGTTGGCTCGCAAGTTGCCGCACGACAAGAATGTTTACTTGAAACCTGGTCAGAAAATTCTGAACTGGACTGCTGGTCCAGTAGGTGATCTGAAGCCTTGGTAGAAGCAGCTTCTGTTCGTGGTTATGAGCTTCGTCAAGCTACCGATGCTTCAACTTTGTTGCTCATAGTTGCTCAAATGTGTAAACTTCTGTTGTGTCACCAAGCTGTGGCATTATCCTCTCTTGTAGCATGACATACTTGATACATAATATATGTTGTAACTTGTAAGCAATGGAGTAGAACTTTTCATCTGATCAAGCTGTTGGAATATTATAATTTTGTTGATCCGTTTGGTACCTTGATTGGTGATCTTATTCTTTTTGTAAACTTATGTCAGATGTGAACCACTTGCCTAAGAAATCTGGTGGAAATGCAGTGTCTTTACGTAGCAAGAGACAATTGATTTGGATCCTTTTACTTTCAGGAAATGCAATCTGAATGACCTTTCTTCTTTCAGAATACATCTCAATGGTTCTACTTGTTATGTTTTTCGTACAATGCTTTGGAACTCAGAGAATTCTGATGTAAATTAAACTGGGTGTGATGAAATTGACTCGACCTGTGCTCCCAACCTTGGGTTGTCGGTGTTGTTCTTTGGTGTGAAGACTGTCGAGTCAACCTCTCGGATAGTTTGATTCGAGGGGTCTGCATAGGGTTCTCATAACTTTAGCGTTGGTGTGGTTTTCCGATTAGAATCTTGAGTCGGATGTTTGCAGGGGTGTGTTTGATGAGGTTTCTTGAGTGGTGGTATGGAGTTTTTATTTGGAATTCCGCCTTGGATGTTTCTGGCAAGATTTACATAGGAATATGCCTAATAAAATTTAATATATGAGAAAATGTATGACTCTTTATAATAAAGTAAATTCCTAAAATAAATGCTTCAACTTTTCATCTTTATTTTACTTAGTGCATTCTTTTTAGTCTAATCTTACGGAGTCAGAATGCTTATTATTTTCTAATGGGTGATCTTCGTCCCATCTATTATTACTATGTCGATTGTCGCGTCCATCTCGCTTGTTGTGTGTTGTCATTCCATCTAATCATATACATCTACTAGTTAATGTTGTCTTGCTTCCTCTTGATGGTTCTTTGCCTCGAGGGTGTTTGCATGTTCCTTTCCGACAATGATAAGTTCCTCATTGTCATGACTCTTGCCAAGATAAGTGAAGCTCTTGGGTCCTTGACTCATGTCGTGGTTAGCCTCAATTGACGGTGCATCGACTTAGAGTTGTAATGGTTCGATATCATATTCACGAGTCTACTCAAGCTCGATGGAGGGGTGACATAGATGATATTGAGGATGAAGGCTTCATGAGGGTGGTATTGGGGCCTTACACAGGAAGGACCTTTGTGGATAAAGATGGTAGCCATGCAAAGGGATGAAGGGGGCATACGGAGGTGATGGAGACTCACTGTGAGGTGGAGGCAATGAAGGCGAGGATGAGAGCCTCACAGTGACAAAGGTGTAGCTGCACATAGCTTTGTGAGACTATCATAATGGGTGCAAACGACAAGCAATAGTGAAGGAAAGAGACGATCAGAATGGAACTATGACCAATAGAACAAACGTTAAAGATAATATCATCTTTTTAGTAAATAAGGAACGTTCTACGTACTATAAATAAAAAATGCTATTCGAAAAAATAATTTTTTTTATAAAATTATCCTAATATGAAGATTTATTTTTTTTAAAGTATTTATTATTTTGATTTCATATTGACGTGATAAATATTATTATTTTATTTATTGATATTTGGCTGACTAAGATCCACATGTGAGGTTTTATTTAATGAATAATACTCATCCCATATCCACACAAACATTATAATAAATAATTGAGAAGCGCAAGCCACAACCCCAACCCCAACCTGAGACGCCGTACGGACAAGTAACAATAATAATAATACACCATCAACGATCCGATCGGACGGCTCAGATCCACCCGAATCATGCGCGGTCGTCATCAGATTCCAAGTCATCCTCCGTACGATAACAACCCCAATCCTCGCCTCGTAATCCCCACCGCGTTGCGCATAGACCCGCATGCGGTCACCTGTGGCCCCCGACTCGCGCCGCCCATGTCGAACGGACGAGATCGCTTTGCGCCGAGGCGCGGACGGAGGATTCGACGCCCGCGTAATTTCCTTTCTTCACAGGTGTGAGCGCGCGAGAGCGGTGGGCCCCGCGACATGGTCCCACTGCCCCGTCGGGCCCCGCACCCGGGCTTTACGAACCAACGCCTCCGAGGCCCGAGAAACCACGGTGACCATCGCCTTCCTCCTTCGCCCTCTATAAATGCCCCCTTCCCACCTCCCTAATTCCCTCTCGAGCAAACCCTATCGGCGGTTCTACCCCTCGGCGATGCGGATCGGTACCTCTCGATTCTTGTTCGCCTCCGCCTCTCCCTCTCTTCTGACCGATCCTAGGGCTTTATTCTTTGCTTTCTTGGGTGTCTTTGTTCTTGGAATCCGCCCTTCCGTACCGCTTCTTGGTATTGGTCTCACCCGTGGCTTTGGTTTGTTTCTTGTTTGTCGAAATTAGCACTTCGGTCTGTTGTTTTGATCTGGCTTTCGTGTCTTGGCGTGGTGGTTAGTTGTAGGTTTAGTTGGGTCAACAAGACAAGAAAAAGCTTTGATGATTATTAACCGAGTAATGGAAGGTCAGCGGCTCTGGTGGTGACTGCTAGTTGCTGGAATATAAAGCTCGATCTTTTCTTGCGATATATCACGAAGAAAGGATGCTATAATTGATTTCTAAAGCTTGGACTCGATATCTACTGATTGTTTCGACAATGTGCTTTCATGGTGTGGCCGCGCCTAGGTTGGCATACTGTGTATAACGTCAACTTTGGATCTTTAACTTGAAATACCTACCAATTGAAAGATAGAGGGTGCTGAATTTTTTATTTGATAATTAGTTCAAGAGAACCACATCCTATGGTACATACATGCTAAAAAGAAAAGGTAGATACTGAGAATCATATATATATACTGGCAGGAGATACTGTGCTTTCTGATTACTCTCTCCATGTTGGTCCTTTTAGTTGTAGCTGGCCAGGAAATGTGATCACTTCTTTGTGGCTGCAATTTTTTTTAATGATTTGGTGGGCCGTCACTTCAATAAAAGAAATGCTATCCTAGCTTCTTTGTGATGCTTCACTTCCCCCCCTCCTTTTCAAGAGACAGTCCTAAGTTTCAACACATATTCTCTTCTCTATGTCTTCCTTATATGATTTCCATTTAACCCTCAATCGATGGTAATTTGAAATAGAGACCAATCATCATTAGTTGCTATGTTAATTGAAAACAATTAGTCATGTTCCCCCTCTTGTTATGGTTGGATGGAATTCTTGTTTAATTTGCTGCTAATTGTGCTAACCTTGTAGGAGGGAATAACCATGGAAATGAGTGAAAAATGGCTTTGCATGAAGGCTTATAGACATAAATCAAACTAATATCTGTTATGAAAATCTATGGAGTCTTCATTTACTTTCTCTTGTTCTTGACAAGCAGGAGTGAATGTCACAATTCCAGTCATGATTGCTTTGAATAAGTAGGTGAGTCTTTTTATTGATAATTGCAAGCTCTTGTTTGTTTTTAATGATTCAAGCAACCATGAAATTATTTTCCCATGCTTTCTAATCAAGGTACTTATCCACATGGATTGAGAAAATAGATTTGACTGGTGATCAAGAATAATTTCAAATTGAAAGAGGCACTCGTGTGATCTTGTGCAGATGACCTGCAGAATGGCAGCTGGTCAAAGAAGGAAGCAGCAAACAAATTCTAACTCTCATAAACAATACAGTGGAAAAAAGAAAAGAAAGCTGGGCCCATATGATTTATGTTTGAGATCCCAAGTAGATCTGGAATGGGATGTTCGTCAAAAGAGAGTCGTAGCAAAGAAGGCACAAGTTGGATTAACATGGAACTATATGGCTCCTTTTGTTGATTCCTTTACTCGATCACATTCTGGCATAGCTGATGTTGTCTCTGTTCCTTATGAGATTTTTGACTTGGACAATTTGTCTGAGGTGCTTACTTATGAGGTATGCTTGTTGTTGTCATTGTATATATCCATTTACTAGTCCATTCAGCAGGTATTGTGACATTTTGATTGTATATGCCTGTTGCTAATTGTTCTCCTCCAATGTCTTGTCAGGTTTGGGCAACATGTCTTTCAGAACCAGAGAGAAAGCTTCTCTCACAGTTTCTTCCTAGTGAGACAGACACTGAACATGTTGTTCATTCATTGCTTAAGGGAGAAAACCATCATTTTGGAAATCCTTACTTAAAATGGTAAGTTTTTGTAGTCGGTCAATATTCATCTTTAGTTCGTTTGGGTCAATCTATAACTCAAGTATTTTACGGTTATTAAATTGGATTTCTAGTTTGACTAACTTTATCTGCTTATGGGAAAATTCAAACTTGGCATGTGGTAAATCTTTTATGTAGCTGAATAACCAGCTTTTGGCTGCCTAGGTTTATCTATTTATCTTTTGTCTATGTGCTTGTGCATGTGTGTATCTACTGTTTGGAATTTTAGTTAATAATTTGTGGTGATCTACAAGCTTAGACATTGTACTAGAGTGAAACTGGAGCAAATAAATAGGACTGCCCAGTGCCAAAAATTTTGTATTACAAAAAGGTGTAATTTTTTTGCTGATGTATTCTAATTGTGATCAGTGGTTATGATATATAAACAATGATATTACATCTATCATTTGATCTTCATGTTCTTTGATTTTTTTGAAATGATGTCACAGATGACTAAGTGGTTTTCATATATTTTATTTTGATAAGTTTAGTAAGTTTGTTTTCATTTTCACTTGGAGATTCTGCTTGTTATGTAGGTATCTAGTTGTGTAAGAATGAAAAGAGCACCAGATATTGCTAAGTTGTGTCTCTGTGGCGTATCAGTTTATGATGATTTTTTTTGTTGTAGTACCATATGTCTTCCTTTTACATCCTAGCATGTCTCTGTGAAGGAAGAAAGAACGCTCAAGGATACACACAATTTTATTGTGATCTCAGTTAGTCAGGATGTGAATTGAATGTTATGTTGGAATTACACATTTGTGACCCATGAACAAGGGTCGTTTTAAATTGTAGTTACATATTTGCATAGGTTGTTGCTGGAGGTTGTGCTTTGTTTTCTTTTATGCAATGGCCGTACAGGGCTTGCATATATAGTGCAATATAAAATTTATATCTCTGTGTGCTTTGTCCCTTCTGATCACCAAGCAAGTTTTTTAATGGCTTACGCATCTAGAACAAAAACTAAAATAGAAACACCAATGGTCTGGAAATCCAAGTCTTAAGGTTTGTGAGATGAGTTTTTGAGTGATCACAATTATGTTAACTGTACTAAGTTGAAATTAAATTGAATGCTTTATGTGTGATCCTTGAGAAACATGATATCTTTTTTGGATTAGTGGATGAATTTGTCTTTTTTTCCCCAAGGCATGAAGGTATAGCATTGCAAGGATATGTCTTCGGATTGCTAAAGCTTTTTGGGTTTACGAGAGTGAAAGCCTTAGATTGCTTTCAGTTGCAATTCACTGATGCGGAAGATTGAGAAGACAATTTTGATACCTTTCTGAAAAAAGGAACATTAAACAAACCCAGAAGTCAGTCTCACTCATTTTGTAGTAGTATTAGTTGCATATTGTGGGAAGAATTACATTTAAATAAGATTTGGAAAGAGGAATGTGGGTATTAACAGTTCTATGGAGGCTGGAATTTGAAGGCTCTAGTTTGGGAGATGTTTCTACTTGACAATGATATTAATTGACAATGAAAGCAGGTCAAGAGATGTCGGGCAAGGACTTGTAGGATGTGAATAATATGTTCTGGTTTAATTCTCTTTTGTTTTTGCACAGAAACTTGTTCCTGTTTTTTTTTTTGGTTATATATTTCTTCTATCACTGACATATTTTCCCCATGTAGCCAGGAGATATTCACTATGTGTTAGTAAAAATTCCAATATAATGATCTTATGAAATCTACATGTTGCACTTATGCAGGTCTTCTTCACTTTGTGCTGGTAATCTTCATCCAGATAACGTTCTACATCTGGAGAAGCAATTTAAGTTCAATAAGAGAGCATATTATCATGAGATAAATAAGTACCATAGTGGGTATGTTCAGCATAAAGAGCCTCTGAAAATGTTATTCTTTCACATTCCAACTACTGCTGCTTTTTAGTAGTCATACTGCCGAATGATAAGTTTTTGTTGGCAGCATGCTTGAGGTTTTGAAAAATTGGAGAGAGAGATGGTTGAGCTGCAAGGATCCAGAAAATCTTTGGAGGTACCTGTTACCACTTGATCAGAATCACAAGTTATTTCTCTATTTGTGCTTCATTACTGCCTGCTGTTTTGTCTTTTAGGTCATATTGAAAGTTCTGATGTTGTGTAGTTATACGTGGGCCTTTGGTCACGAGCCAATAGGCTTTCTATGGTGTCATTGTTAAGATTCATGATAATGCACCTCTACCTTTCAACGATAGTTTTTGCATATAGTCTTGTTTCAAGTTGTTAATGTTATAATTATCGGAGGTCTGATGTTGTAAATAGCATTTGACTTGAGGTTCAGCTTGGAAGGATGATACTTTCTAGTTTTCCAGCTTTGTTCTAAGGTTTTAGAACTCTGAAGTATGAGTGTAACTGATGGTAGGGATATATAATTTTTGAAATGGCAAATTAATAACTTCATTCAAGTAGTATTAAAAGACAAACTGAGCAGCTGCAAAACCAGCTGCCTCTCAGAAAGAGGGGTTACAGTTAGATCTACAAAATTTGCAAGCTTGTGGGCATCCTGTTTAGATGCTCTTGGTAAGTAATCAATCTTAACAAGATAAACAAAATACCTGATATCTGTGATAACAGATTTAAGATACCAGGGAGTCTCATTCATCGATGGTAGGGATATTATTATATGCTCAATTCATATATGCCAAGAAGCTTGTTGTTCTAATAGAAAAATGTGGCCATGGGGGTCTGGATAGGGCTTTTTGTGTGGCCAGTTGCAGGAGTTTAGTATAGGAGATATTCAGACTTATTTCAGAAGATAGTTTGCAGAAAACTACTCTGTTCATAGTTCTTCGAGTGCTGGAAATGTGATAACCAAAGTCATCAATTTGCAGGGAGAATGGAGTTGCTCTTTCCATTTCGATCGCATCATGTTTGGTTGTCTCTAACTGGTGCTGCAGGCATCTTATTATTGGCAGCTGGTGAAATACATTTGTTGGGATGCCTGTAACTGCACCTAAATTTATTATTGCAACCAGTAATCAGAATCTGAAAAACCATCTTCAGAAAATCTAGTACCGTTTAGTTGGATTTAAATTGTAAATACTGCATTCGCAAATGTAACGTGGCCAGAATTTATAGGCAATGAAACAATAGTAGTATTTACAAATAAGTGCACGTGCATATGTGATGCAAGCTTGATCATGGGATGCAGGTAAAAGGAACCACATGCAACAAAACATACTCTAAATCAGTGATTTAAAAAGCGCTAGGCGCTCGCCCGAGTGAAACGAGGTGCTAAAATATTAAAATATATAATATAATTAATAAATATAATTATTTAACAGTATTAAAATCAAAATAATATATTATTAATCTAATAAATACAAATATATTACTGTTACTAGTATATTGTTAACAGTATACTTTCGAAAAAGGAGAAGGAAGAGGAGTGTAAGGGAAGACCGAGGGTGCAGCGACAGCGGTAAAAGTGAGCAGCGGCAGCGAGAGCGACGAGCGGCGACAGTGACAACGGCAGCGGGAGCGGGAGCAGGACTTATAATAATAAGCTAATTGCTCTTATCTGAGATATTTTCAGTGCAACACTTGTTTGCCTTAGCAGTGACTTAGAATTTGATACTTTCAAAATATTCTGTTCTCGTTAAGAATATTAAGAATACATACCAGGGGATTTGCCTGCAGTTTTGACAATATCTGTGTAGCTGAGATTCTGAGAATGCAGTTTTATGCTTTTAGCCTCATAAATTGCACTGTTTAATTTAAAGGTTGAATCTGGTAGTTTGATGATTGAATGAAGTTCTAAGCTTGAAAATTACCATTTGAAATGTTGGTTTAGTGTTTCAGATTGTATCAAAATAATTTTTTACTTACCTTTGCCAGTTGATTAGTGATTCAGATTGTATCAAACTATGTATAGTTAAGATTGTTTTGGCATTTCATTACTTATCCTTTTACACATTTATGATGAGCGGCTTTCTATTTGCAGTGAAGAATTTACCAAGAACAAGCAAGAAAACTTAGCAATTTGTGCAGAAAGGGCTAAGGTTCCTAATTGTTCAAAGAGGGAAATGTCAAATAATAACAGCGTCCACAACAGTGATACAATTAAATTTATGTCATGTATAAAGGTATGTTAACTCGAATGTCTTATTGAGTGGAAGTTCAGTAGAAAGTTAATTGACTATGTTTGATCTCATTTCCTGCCAGAATTGTGTTTTCGAGTGTTAGCTCAGTAGAGATGAAATCAGTGGTGCATGAGCAAATCTCTTGATGTTCCAATTGTTGTCCCTTTTACCTGAAGCAGAGTTTCTGTTGACCTGAAGCTACCAATCTACACAGAATGGACTTTGATAGCTTTTAGTGTTACAAACTATTTATTAAAAATTGGGATAATTCCATAGAGTGGAATGGCAGTTATTCAGTGAGTTGTTTTGGCATTGGTTGATGTAAGAAAGTGTGCACAGGGCACATAGGCCATGAAGTTGTTGATAATGCTCTCCAACGAGACAAACATTTGTTCATTTGTTTGATTATGTACATGACCAGGCCTCTTCACAAAGGCTACTCATAAGTGATCTACATCTAACACAAAGTGGAAATGCTCCTTTTGTGCCTGACACTGACTTGGGTAGAGTTTTCGGAAGCCATTACTTATCCACACTATTTCTATCTTACAACTTATGATTTTGTTAGTTAATATTTTGTTGTATTCTACTAAAATTAAGGATTTGTAGCAAACAACAGTTTTTAATATGGAACTATAAGGAAATTGCCTTCTTTATATTTGTAAGTAAAGCAGTTTTGTAAAATTGCTACACTATGTGATGACTTTCTCTCACTGAATATTTCAGATAACTAGGTCTCAGTTCCAGCTGGTTAAGAATTTAAAGCATTCTGGTGATGGTATCCAATCCAAGTCTCTTAGTCATGTGCTTGGTGACATAAATAGCTTTCATGCACATTCTTATGTAACATATGAGGAGGAAGAAAAGAAGAGGTTGCATGAACAATGGTTAGTTTTACCTGGACCAATTAGCAGTCAACTTTTGTCTGAGAAGTTGAAATTTCCAAACCTAACTCTTGCACAAACAGGTTGCAAATTGCAAGGAAGGATCTCCCTGCAGCTTTTGGGGTATACAAGGGAAGGAAGTTGCATAGAGAGCAATGCTGGAAATTTTTGGAACAGGAACTTGCAATGAAGAGGAAGCTGATACTGCATAAGGTATGCCCAAGGTTTCTTCAGAATTTGAAATAATTTTTTCTCTGAGATAATACAGCTCATAGCCGTTACAGTTTAACCCCTTACAGTAACAAAATCCCCAATGTTCTTAAAGCTGCACCTATCATATTATCATATTGAGATATCAAACATGCAACCCCTCTCTCCTGGGTAACGTGACAATATGATTTTCTTTAGCAGTCAGCTGGGGCCCATTCTGTAATATGTCCACTGGTGCATCCTGCTGATGGACTTGGATGTAGCAGTATGCAAGACAGTGTACCATGCTGTAGAACGGACATCACTGTTTGGTTTATATTCTGCTAGTAGAAAGGACATAAATATTTATGCAGACATTAATTCACTTTTATTAGTAGTAGGACTTTAGACTCTTGCTGGACCTTGTAGAGAAGCTGATACCTTGTAGAGAAGCTGATGTGGGGAGGACTTAATTTTGCTCATGGGTGTCATTTTATGATCCATATGTAGTTTTTTATGCTATAAAGATATTATCGAGACACATGTATGCATCAGTTTAAAGCCAGATGCTTCTTTCTGCCTGTGCATGTTCTTGCACATGTAACAGAAAGTACTTGTAGTTGCATGTAACTGTTTTATGATTGCTTAATTGGTCAGGATGAGAAGACAGAAAATTTGGAGAGCTCGAATCAAGAATCTTCATACAGTGGAGATCTTCATGAGCATGAGCATGCTCCAGATGCTGAAGGTGAAAAAAATGAAGATGTTGACCCCAGATATGAGGCCATTAATGACCATCAGCTGGAAAATATTCCTTCCATTGACCCTAATCAGAAGACTTGTTTTATGGTTGCCAATGATGAAGCAGTAGGTGAAGATACACTAAAACAAGAAGATTGTGTTTTACCTCTTTCTGAATCTTTATATTGCCAGAGTGAAAATATTAAACTGGAGGGTTCTCTTGCATCTGTGAAAAGTATGTGGCAGCCCAGAAGCCTCGCTGACTATTACTGCAACACTTCACAAGTTCATGGATACTTGTCTGCTGATCAGATGATACCTGTGAGACATAAACAAGTCAATGAAGAACATGCGGCTCACATTATTGATCTGAAGAGAGATGTTCCCCAACTGGAAGCTGGAAAGACTGTTGCATCAGCTTTTATCAGAGAATCAATCTTTTATTCACCAGCAAACCAAGATTGTACCGGTGTACCTCCCACATGTCCAGAGGGATCAGGAATGCTATCATCTTATACACATCAACACATGAATAGTGTGAGGCAACCTGCATTGCATTTTCTGATGCCCAATGATCGTCTTACAGATTCTGGTCAGTTTGCTAGCCTTTTCGTAGGGCCAGCACAGATACAGCAGCAGAGAGAAGTTTGGGAGAAAGGACCTCACATGCATCAGACTGTGAATGAAAGTGCATACACTACTGGCAGATATGCTAGCAAAAGGCAGTTTCCACCAGCTGACCAACATGGTTTTTCTGCCATGTATTCTTCGGGCAATAGTGGTTCTGTAGGTTACAATTGGTTTCCTGATGAGAATCAAGAGGCTTACCACAATTGGTCTGGAGTTGCAACATCCAGCAGTAGTCACAGTGTTGCTGTTGGCAAAAATTCTGATGGAAACCTCTTCAGTGTTTTCTCCAACAGATCAGTGTGCTCTCCATTGGAAGTGCTGAACTCGGAACAGTATATTCAAACAAGGAATTTTGATGGTGTGGAAATGGCCAGTGCTGAAGATACTCGTGCCTATGCACAAACTCAACTTCACAACTCAGGTGGTCATGAGGCAGTCGGTGCCTCCTCATTGAGGAGGGGATCATGGATTAATACTCCACATCACAGTCTTGGCCTTCATAATCCTGGTGGAAGGCCATTTCCAAGACCCTGACACCTATATCACCCCACCTTGACACAAGACTATGCCATCACCTACTGATCATTTTAACTTGCAAAGGAAGCTCATCTGTAGAATGTAGATACTGCTGACAGGCCAGTTTATTTATATCCTCACATAGATGGCCGACCTACTCTGAGTGGCACAATGGAAATCTATTAATCTGTAAATATGGTCTATACTGTACATATATGTGGGAAGTGAGTGGATCTAATAACACCGAGATCAGATACACATGTTTTGTTTGGTATGTAATCTTTGGTTCAGTTTTGCCTTTCCCCATTGTTGAAGGGCATATTTGTTGTCATAGGGCATGAGTTCCCTTGCGCAGTAGCAATAAAGTCTTGATTTGGTGAGTCAACAACTGTTGGTATTCATGCTCTTTTGACTTTGTGCTTGGGCGTGAAACCAACACCAGATCAAGGAAGACCCAGGAATGCATGGCAGCTTCACCAGCTTCATCATCAAAATGAGGGTATTTGGTTTTCCAGCCAGCTTTGAGGATATCAAAATTATCGGACATGGACTGTGGAAAGATTACTTGGATTTGGTTGGAATTTTACTCCATGTGGATTTAGATTTGGTTAATAATGTACAGTGCTCCAAATTCCACTCCACAATAGCATTTTACGATGGATATTAAAAATATCCGATGTTTAATATGTGTCCACCTTGGATAAAATGTTAAATATGTTTGTTGGATAAAATAATTCTTTCGACATGATATTTCCAGGACATGCCTATTATTTTTAGACAATCGAGATTCCGCAGACAAGACTCGATCGATTCGGATACACCAATACGTCAACTGAACATTTAAACAAAATATTCTTTTGTTAAAATACTTAAACTTTTATAATCAATAATTATATAACGAATATTATAAAACCGACTTCTCTAAAGATGTTCTAATTCTAAACTTATAGTCGAAAGTCTCGTAGGCTTACAATCTTGCGAGCTCTTTTACCTCACGCGTGTGCAACGACCCATGTCGCACGTGTCAGAGACCAATGGCCCACATTCCGCACATTTGGGCTCGGCCCATTTTCGGCCCATTTCCTTCTCCTTCCCCTTAGTAAAGCCCAATTGACGCTTCAGATCAAACGTACCTCGATCCGACGGCTGACGCTTGATCATCATCGCTATAAAATGTTGCTTTGAACCGTCGTTTTGGTCCTCGCGAGCTCCGAGTCCGAAGTCGCTTCTAGGGTTCCTGGTGTTTACGTCGCCGCCGCCGCCGCCGCCGCCCAAGGCTTCGACAAGATGGTAAGTTGGCCGATGTCGGCTTCGCCTCCTCGATGTTGATCTCCAGAAAATCGGTGGATTTGCTTTGTTCTTCGCCTACTTTAGTGGCTTAAACGCCTGCATCAGTGTTGATCTGTTTGTTCCTTCGTTCATGATTAGGTTTTGCCAAACGATGTCGACCTCCTCAACCCCCCCGCGGAGCTCGAGAAAAGGAGGCACAAGCTCAAGCGTCTCGTTCAATCTCCCAACTCCTTCTTCATGGTGATCCCTAATTCGTTTCTTGTGGACTTCAGTTCCTCCCCCACCTCGTTCGATTTCTTGATTCTAATAGGGGTTTCTGATTTGAATTCCTTTTATTGAAGGATGTCAAGTGCCAAGGATGCTTCAACATGTAAGTTTTGACGTGCGCTCATCTTTGATCTCGTATCCGTAATGCGTTTCTATATCTGACTGGTTGTTGAATATGTCGTTGCCGGGATTGATGTTGCAGTACTACGGTGTTTAGCCACTCCCAGACTGTCGTGGTTTGTGGAAACTGCCAGACCGTGTTGTGCCAGCCGACCGGCGGGCGCGCAAAGCTCACCGAAGGCTGCTCTTTCCGGCGGAAGGGTGACTGAGCTCGGTATATGCTCTTCTTCCTTTCCTTTGGCAGATTCGGAGAAGCTTGAAATCAGAGGGATGTCGTGCGAGTCTTAATTTTAGCGATTAGTAAGGCCAATATACAACGCATGTGATGCAGACACCTTTTCTCACTTAGTAATTTGAATCTGTATCTGAAGTTTTTCCTCTCACGAGTGGATTACTATTAAGAATGGTAAATTCTGCTCCTTTTCTACTGGTTCAATCGAGATGCTATGGTAATTTTTTTGTTTGCTTGACAGTTTTGATCTTCCATTTAGTGTAGAGTTTTAGGTATTGGTTTTTATCTGTCCATTTAGTGTGGAATAGATCACTCGATCAACCAAATAAAATTCCTGTAGAATGATTGAAGGGAAAGAAATTTCATTGTATCTGTTAGATGACTTCGATCTCAGTTCATAGTATTTCTTTTTCCGTTGATGATTTGTACAAATTGTCTCATTTTACATATGCTTATATGCTCATGATAGTTTATGCATATGGTAATATTTTAATTATAGTTTATATTTTGTAATTAATTATGTTTAGTATTTCGATCTTTATATTTAAAAAGATTATATTCACATCCTTATAATATTTAATTTGATTTTTTTAATATTTTTATTTTTAATTATATAAAAAATATCTTTCTAATCTTCATTCACTTTTATAATTATAGAAATCATATTATATTCTTTGAAATTATAAATATTGAAATACTAAACAAAATTAATTATAGAGATAATTTTAATTAATCTAAATAAGAGCCTATTAGATAATTTTGCTGTATCTAGAGCTCTTAGTCATTCTCATCTATCTCTAATTTCATATTTGTTTCATGCCATGATTGGTTTGGCAGCAATTTGGGTTTGAATTTACTACACTTGTTTACTCAATAAATATAGATTGCTCTCTCTCTCTCTCTCTAATTTGTAATTATAGTGGCTGGCCAAATGAGTGCAAATAGGAAGTTGCTATTGACTGCACAAGTAATTCTCTTGATAGCTCTCTCTCTCTCTCTCTCTCTCTCTATATATATATATATATATATATATATATATATATATTTATGTGTGTGTGTTCTAT